CGACCCGAAAATCACACGACCGATCGGGTTGATTTATCGATCGATCGAATGGTTCAGCCACAACAAGGGACCTGGTGCTTGCTCAGCTAACCCGAGCGAGAAGCCACACTTTTTTTACAGCCGAGAGTCTCAGACAGGCCCAGTGAACTTCGACTGTGTGGCAGGAGTGTCATCAACACTCGGATGGACTGAACTTAACAGCAAGAGCATTACAAAAAGTACAAGCCGGTAATCAGACAGTCTTGTTTAGGGTGAGAGATTTTAGGCGTCGCATCTCGCGGACTATGATGCAATCAGGGATCGCATTAGGGGTCAGAGGGAATTTACTTGCTTAAGGTCACGGGTGAGCGGGACGAGACGCTCGACTACGATGAAACAGTCACCCTGTAGATTACCATTCGGATATCACTATAATTTGGCATACATAACGCAGAAATCATCTCTCGCAGCTGTTGGCAGCAAGCCGGGTAATGGATGTAGCAATTGGTAGTTATTCATTGAGATACAGCAATCTGCTCTCGGTGGTCTTCATTTTTGATCGTCGAAGAGAATCACCAACTATTTTGCGTGCTACTCACATTTGTGAGTAATGTCTCACACAGACAGTTTGATGAAATGTTCAAAAGAAACAATGATTAAAACAAATCAGAGTGAGCAGTGTCTGGTGAATTGTTCTTGATTTGTTACAGTTTGTTCACTCGTCTAACTGTGACTACACTTGGTTCAGTGTATGTTTGTGTCAGTGTGTGTTTGTGTGTGAATATGTATGTACACATGATCTGTACTGTGCAAGTCGGCACACCGGAAACGCCATTTCTGATGGCTAATTAGTGTGCGAATGATTTTATCAGATTGATCACCAAGCTATAATTAATTGTCTCCTGGGCCTCCATGGCTCAGTGGCCAGAGCACTGGTCTTGTAAACCAGGGGTCGGGAGTTCGATCCTCCCTGGGGGCAGCGCGTTTTCTTGCAAATACAAAAACAATCGCCGACGTCACTGACCCTGTCCTCCTCCGCCTGTCTATTCAACTACTCCTACTTCTTCCATCCAGGTGTTGTGTAGCCTGTACAGCCAGCAGGACCGTGGACGTACGCGATGACCCACTGGACAGTTAGAAATCAAACAGCACATGGCACGTGTACGAGAAATACATTCGATTGGCAATGCATCCAGTTGAGTGCGATCGTTCTGTACGACAGTTTCGCAGTTTCGCAGTGCAGTGCAGTACAGTTTCGTTCTGAATCATCGAATAAGCTGAGCTGATCATCGGAATGTGCTTGTTGGTTGGTTCACGCACGATTGATCGCTATAGAACGACGACTGGTAGGCTGCCTGGCTGACTGGATGGTCGTTTGTGTTTAGTTGTCAGTTGTCCACATTGGGATATGCAGCATCGTCAGGTGGTGAATGTGAGATGTGGTCACATACACATCACATGGCTTCCGTAGGTCGGTAGCATTGGTTCTGTAAACCAAAGGTCTACTCGATACTTTCGATTGATCATAATATCTTCCGAATTCGGATTCAATAACACAATTGCCCAAACTTCGTATGGCGCGGTTTGTGACCTGACCGGGAGTAAAATGTCTATCACGATCGGGGTGTGTGCATATTGACAAGTGATTGTTTTTTTTTGATGTAACCAAACGCCACATTTGTGATTGCATGTATTGTGTTCATGCAGTGTTTGTGTTCGAATGTCGTCTAACATCCAGTGCGGGTGATGTTCAGGATTGATTGATTTTATCTCAATCGTATTGCATTCGATAATTGTCTGATCGGCTATTTTTATTGTCCTTTTCTTAGTTCGTGCGTAACATATCCTCCTGTTCCTGTTTCAGTTGGTGAACTTCAGGTTTGACATTGTGTTCCGTAGTTTTCTGTATAAACTTTGTGACCACTATGGAATTCGCATCGAATTTGTCGCCTTTTTTTACCATACAATCATCGTTTATGAGTGGTTTAGGGACCGGTATTTCTTATTTTTAATCCTCCTCACAGCGATGATACAACGACTGTCACATTTTTATTTCGACTAGATCTGTAGTTTTCGAAAAATAAGTCAACAAGAATGCCCAACTGTTGGCTACCCGGTCATTGTTTTGTGTGTGCTTTTTCAAAATGACCATAAATCGCTCAGCCTGACCGTTTGACCCCGGGACGTTTGAGTTCTAACATGCAAAATGTCACTGGATAAATGAAGTTCGGAAGACTTGTTGTGCGTACTACCTACCATCTGAAACGAGTACTTCTAGGGAACTAATCTAAAAAGTATGATTCTAAAGAAGCAGATTGTACACTGGCTATCCGGGTGCTATGCGATGCCATTTAGATGTACAATTTACAGCAAGTAATAGACAGACGTCACGAATCGGTCCAACCAAATCAATGTGGACTGAGGTGTATAGTTTCGGTCCTAATGGCCACAACTGCGGTTACTTGTCCGGTTGCCCCACCAGATTCGTACAACGCTGCGTAGAAAGCAGCCTATCTTTATCCTATTTTCATTGTGACGAAGTCGCGCGCTATTTAGCACTGGCACTGGCCGTATAGCTACAGCAAATACTCGGCCCTTCACAGACAACCTACCACTACGAGACGGCACCTCAACGTGGTGTGGTGGCTTGTGTGATTCTATGGCCATGTGACCTATATATTATGGTTTTACACAGCAATAGATCCGATTATGCCTGCAAGACCAATGGGTAGAAGCCAGCTAATGGGGTACCTCCTAGCTTCCTTTGACTATCCACTTTCGCTCCCGGAGAGGTTACCGTCACAAATAAACACGGAGACGAGCAGTTTTCTGATCAAGAAACCCTATGAAATGGACGTAGGAGCTGGATACACTCATCAGCTACATCTCATACGGTTCGGCATTTTCACTTTGAGCCTGATTGGAACATTCCTATTTTACCCTCACTCCTNCAAATATACATTCATAAAACAGAAACCAAAAACGGCGCACGAAAGTGTATGGTTAATCGTCGTAAAAAACTGAACTGAAACAGTTTGAGTCTCATTCGATACAAGTTTTCAGAATTCCCACAAGCACATAGGAGAACTAACGGAAAGGTCCAACAGTAGATGAACATTCTCTGAAACTTTAAAGCAGCAATTCTCCTTAAGTGATCTTGTTCACTTATGATCGTTGAGAAAAACCGTTAATCGCATCCTTTTATGCACTTCAACCATGCTACAAATGTAAGTAGTTTCTTACAACGTTAGTAGCTGAACAGCTAAACTTCCGTGATTTATCACGAACGCATTAGTCGGAACGCGTTCCTATTATGATCAACGAATATGATCACACGAATGCTTTCATTTGTACTGCGACTATCTTTTACTTCAGAGCTGCTCCAAAATGCTACCTTGTCAGTGCAGGAGTGCGAGCAAATTCACATTTGCGTGAGATTAATGAAGGATTTGTTTTGTTTATGTGATAAGTTTGTCTCGTAAATGAGGTGTAAGCTGAAAAGCTGGGAAGCACTAGACAGCTGTTTCGACCTGGTTGGGTCTCATCAACAGTGCGAACCCATCGACCCTATTGGGGATCGAACAGGGGACCTCACAGAGAGAATGCAAGCAAACTACCCACTGGGCCACCGGGCATCAGATGAGACAGTTTCTCATTTTGAATTTACATGATATAGCACAATCCAAATAAACAACACAAAACCTCCATTAATCTCATGCAACAAATAATCAGGTTTTGAAAGTTTCCATCCGATTCACAACCCAGGAAGCTAATGCTAACACCAGCGAGGACCGATACTCGCAACAAGATCGCATAGATGGGTTCTGCTATGTCGTGTAAACTCAAAATGAGAAACAGTCTGGTCAGCTGCCCGACGGCCGAGTGGGTAGTATACTTGCGTTCCGCCCATGAAGTCCCAGGTTCACCATCCCCATTTTGGTCGATGGATTCGCTCACTGCTGTTGAGATCCAACCAGATCGAAACAACTGTCCAGTGCTTCCCAACTTTCCAGTTCAGGCCTTAGTTACACGGCGGATTTGTCACATTAAATTCACATTTATCCGGTTCCTATTGATTAGATGATGCAAACAAATGAGCGGGGGATGTGAGTCAGTGTGTGCGGAATGAGAAAAATAAAACGGAAGATGAGTGGGACCAGCTGGCTTTATTGCATAGTTGTATATAGTGTGTAATACACACAGGTTATAAGGTTACGAACTAGCTCGTGGTTGTGTGGATAAGACTCGGAACGTGTGGATTAGATAGATGTCGATCGAGACGAGCAAGGATTGGATGGGAGAGTGCAGAGCTACTCGGTCCTTCAAATCTGCGAAGGAGAAGAAGAATTGGGGATGTGGGATCACGAAGTGGATGAATGAATGAATGAATGAATAGATGGACACTATGATGATGTTTCATGCTGCTGGCTGGTCGACAATACATGCTGCTGATTGTATGTACATGCATTGTTTGTTTGTTTGTTTTTCAAATCAGAGTGAAAAGGAACGAGAGTTGGAGAATATCAGAACAAAAATGTGTATTGTCATGCACTGACTGAATGTGTGGATTGAATGCGAAAAAACATATCAGGATGAACTGTGGAGATGAATGACGGGATGAGGAGATCAATGGAGAGCACGAAAAATTAAACAAATCCATGCATCATCAGACAATCAATAATGAGGGGTTGTTTTTAAACGCTCCGGCTTAGTGCAGTTGCCCGTTGTCCCCGAATGCGTGAAGCGTTAACAGAGACGCACTGTTTTGAACACATTGCCTGCATAGGACGCGTGACATCCAAGCTCTTCCTCTATTCGTAACAGTTGATTGTACTTGGCCAATCTTTCGGAACGACACGGTGCTCCAGTTTTGATCTGATAGAACAAACGAAAAGGAAGGGAAGTGGTTTAAATCAATGCGTTTGATCACCTTTATATAATTGAAACCCTGATTCCAAACCAAACTTCACGGTCCCCAAATTTGAGGCAGTCTGAACGACGTTTTTAATTGTTCTCTACCCCGATCACTCATGCTTAATGTTTCCAAACGTGTTGACGTTCCTTTCAGCCGTAAATCTGGTTCCTATTATCAAACTACCTTTAATAATTTACCGCACCTCGTCGTTAACAGTTACACCAATCTCGGAGATGACTCTGTTAAATTTCTTCTATCCAGCAAAGGACACAATTTGAACGTAATAGCATGTACCACTGTCGCCGATATCNNGTGAATATCACACAAAGACTATTTGGCATGAATTCAATGGGTTTCTATCGAGCTGCTCCGCGTTATTCGTTACTGAGCAACAAGGTGTTTCGTTTGTTTTAATCTTTGAGAATGCGCCCGTTCAGCGGGCTTATTAGCCAAATACGCAGACTGACGTGGCAAACCAAGTGCTGGCTTTGAAAAAGTGCCAACAGATGCAAGCCAGTTACAATGGTAAATTCACTCAGTACCAGTATCAGAGATCGGCGAGTTGTGGCCTAAGGATCTCACGGGTCCATTTCTGATATCTCCTAGAAGACATCAATACATCGTGGTGATGATAGATCAATTCACGCGCTGGATCGAAGCTTTAGTAGTCGTGGGTCAAAAAGCCACTACGAGAAGCGCGGTTGTGATGGAGCATATCGTGGCGAATCATGGTATTCCATAAGCTATCCTTACGAACCCAGGTTGGCAACCAGCGCTTTTCTTCAAGTTCAAACTATGCGATGCCGTTTTGTAAACTGCTCCCACATATTTTCATTGGTGAGTGAACCACTGACTGTGTTGCATAATGTTTCCAAATGTGTCGACGTTCCCTTTAGCCTTCAATTTGGCTCTCGTTATCAAACTACCTTTAATGATTCACCGAACCTCGTAGTTAACAGTTACAGCATTCTCAAAGCTTACTTTGTTAAATACCTCGGAGTCGTTCTATCCAACAATCTCTCTTGGACCTTACATGTAGAGAACATTTATAACAAGGTTTGTAAACTTTATTTTTATGCTTTCAGGCTTAAGAATTTTGCTGTTCCCCCAAACGTAATTTTCAAATTCGTGGTAGCATAAATCCGCCCTCATTGGCTCTACTGTTCCCCTGTATTTCTTCCCGGCCTGAAAGAAAAAATTTCCCTATAATTTTTCCAGATCCATAAAACTCCTTTCCCGATGTAGTGGTAAAGCCAGAGAATTTCTGGTTGATTTTTATTGTGTGCAAACATATCGACGCATGTGAAAGCATAGCCAATAGAATCTTGAACAACGAAGATCACTGCTTGTACAACGAACTTATTAAATCTATTTCAAACCCCCTTACCCGCTCCCATTATAGGCTACTTCCCGCGCGCACCGTCACATACAGAAACAGTAGCCTTCATTTTCTTACTCGCTTTTTAGTGGATCGCGCACCAAATATTACAGGTCTGGTTGAACACTTCATAAATAAGTTTATTATTCATTTTAATCTATCACTGTCGTCTTCTTGCTCGCTGCGTGCTGTAGTTGCTGTTATTATAGTTGCTGCTATTCACACTCTGATGCGATCCTACGCCAATCCCAATTTACTATCATGAAAAGTCGCTGAAAATTCACCATTTGGGTGGATAAAGCTTACTTTGACTTGATTTGACTTGTAAGGAGAGACGTATGAATCGCATACATACACACACACACACACAAACACAAACACAATTCCCTAGTTGTGGTAGTGGTCACTGGTTGGATTGAGTATCAAAGCTTACTGGCCACCCTGAATGTTTGATCCGGTCCAAGGGGTGCACGATCAGGTAAGCTGGACAGCGGCTGCCAATGGCTTTCTGTTTTCACACAGAGTCCCGTTACCTAGGGGATCAGGCTTTGGCTATCCGATAGTTCCGGTTCTGAATTCGCGGGGAAATTGATCTATTTTGGCCTGCGCAACATGGTAGTATTCCAACCACGAGAAAATCACGGACCACCGTGCTGCTAAATTGGATTATTCTATTGTAGTTTTGTGCATTAACTAGATTTATTCAACCAGAAATGTCTCAAAAAAGCGAGGCTTCCAAAAAAACATGTGTATCCTGCTCCAGGATTGTGGGCCCCAGGGCCAAAGTGCTCCATTGTGATGGATGTGATGGGCGGCTGCACCTGAAATACACCCAAATCGACAAATGCGAATTACTAGAGGAATGCCTCTCTCCATTCCTGAAGATCGTGTGCTGCAGGTGCTCGATCATTACTTCCAAAGAAGGCGAATCTCCACTTCCAAAAGATTCTCGAATCCCCAAAACGCCGGCTACTGTGGTAAAAGTGGCCCCGTCGTATACAGAGGTCACTTCCACTTCACTTACAAAAGCAGCTCCTGCAGCTGCACCGCAGCAGAAGCAGCCGAACAAAATGGCAGGGCTGTCGTTTGCTGCATCGCCCCCACGGAGAGATTCAGCGCCCTACGTCCATGACATCCAGGCAAGATGCATGTAACATGTTACGGATAATTGAGAGGTGCCCCACGATTTGCAGGAACCTATGCAACAGAGGAAGCTCCCTCCGAGATCTCAGTGCATGATTATTGTCAATCTTCCGGAGGCTGAGGCCACCATCGCCCAGGCTCTCTTGGACCATGACATGCAGCTCGTGACTTTGCACATGGTTACCTTGTTTGATGATGACGAGGTGGAACCAGTGGCATCGATCAGAGTAAAAGCGGCATTCAGGCTTGGAAAACCCCGCCAGGATAATTCTCCGCGGCCTCTGAAAGTGGTTCTTCGGGCAGAAAGCGAGGCCAAAGAGATACTCCAGTGGACCCACAAGCTGAAGGGAACTCGGGTGCGGTTCCTCAGGGATCTTGATCCGAACCAGCGCAGTAAACTGAAAACTGCATTGGAAGAACTCAGGTGGTGCCGTGAAAAATGGGAAACTGATCTGTGTATAAGGGATTTTCGTGTGCATTAGAAGCGCCCTCAGCTGCATTGGCTACCCTTGGTTGGGGGGAGGACCCAGGAGACTGTTTAGCCACGAACGGGCGGATTAGGTTGAAGAGAGAGTGTGTGTTAAAGAGAGAGAGCGGTTGTGCAACTGGTATCAAACCAAAACGATTGATAATTGGGTTCCGTCCGATCGATTGATCGGATCGCTGTTGATGAACAATTACGCAGTGCGATAGAGTCGTTGGTTTATTTTAATTCCCGGAATATATCAGCGGTACACACTGAATGAAAACTCAGTTTAGAGAACACGTTTATTTTCGGTGATTCATCAACTAGCCAATACATCTCTCCATCTCACATCCTCCTCCCACCCCAAATCACACAAATAACATGAACCAAGCGTAAGTCCCGATGATAAGATCAGTCATATCCGGTTTTGTGAATCTGAGGCAGAAAGAAACAACAACAACAACAACAGCAATAACAACAACAACAACAACAACAACAGAAACAACAAAAGTCCCCATTTGAATAATCATTAATTATTAAA